ACATCAACTGAGAAAGGAACGATTTACTGAAAATGCCATTTGGCAGGATGGTAGTCCTATATGGGACGACGTAAGGTTGTTTGGACACTTGGTGCCGAGACAACAATGCTAATACGAATTTTTAATGAATTCCTTTCCTCTAAATATCTTATCTTTATTTCACAAAAAGAAAAGTTTGTTAGTTCTTGGAATGTTGCAAAAAATCTGCTCTTTACTCCCACATAAATCCCAAAATATTTGAAATATTTTCAAAAATGTCTTATTAGAAATTAGAGAAATCATTATTTTACAATTTCTGTGGCTGTATAAGTAGGAGCTTACAGTAGCCCGGCTGAGAGAGGGCAGGCGCACACCTTCCTCAAGATGGGTGCGATGCGCACCTGGTACCAGGTACAGTGTGTGAGTTGACATCCAAATACCACTACACTACATTCACTCACATCTCTTTATCTTAAAGTGGGATACATAACTTAAGATCTTAAGCACATGTGTCTGTGTGCGCTGCTTATCTAATTGTGACTGCAGGAATAGATAAAACTTGCGATTTTGGCTTAAATAGAAACGCTCTTCTTGCCGAATAAGCAAACGAAAATTTGTGTATGCCGTGGGGGCGTTGACCCCTGGAACTCCCTCCCATACCTGAGCACAACCTGCAAGACACCTAGAATTAACTGTGCAAGGCTTAGTATACTGCCTGTTGAGAGAGAATATCCAGATAATGTATGAAAGGCAAACCAGAAAGAATACCAGTTGTTATACACTTTCAAGCTGAATGTTATACCCTTGTCTGTGGTCACAGTCGTCTGGGGATCACTTCTCAAGTGAATACCCCAGTAAAACGATATAAATATATGCACACTTTCAATCGCCAGTCGTGAATCCACGGGCGACCAGTAGAACTATCACATCTCAAAATATCGACTTGGATGACAGCCAATAAACTTACACTTAACACTGGCAAAACCTACTATATTATGTTTGGTAGCAGAGCAGGTGTTGCGCAACTTAACATTAAGATCGACAACACTCTAATTGCCAGACATAATGAGGGCAAATTCCTAGGCCTATACCTCGACAACAACCTAAATTTCAGCACCCATATCCAACACATAACAAAAAAAGTATCCAAAACGGTGGGGATCCTCTCCAAGATACGATACTACGTACTGCAAACTGCCCTTCTCACACTATACCATTCACTTATATATCCATACCTCACCTATGCTATCTGTGCTTGGGGATCAACTGCAGCAACACACCTAAAGCCAATAATAACCCAACAAAAAGCCGCAGTAGAATAATCACTAAATCCCATCCCTGGCAACACACCACCCCACTCTTCATAGATCTAAACTTATTCCCTGTTCAAAACATTCACACGTACTACTGTGCAATCTATATCTACAGGACCTTAAATTCCAATATTAACCTTGACCTAAAATGCTTTCTTGATAGTTGTGACAGGATCCACAGGCATAACACCAGACACAAACATCTCTATGACATCCCCCGTGCTCGACTAAACCTTTACAAAAATTCAATGTATTTCAAAGGACCTAAAATCTGGAACACCCTACCTGAAAACTCTAGAACTGCAGACACATTCATCACTTTCAAAACTACAGTTAGAAAACATCTTATCTCCCTGATTCACCCCGACAACTAACTACATGATAACCACCTGGTGGTTCAAAATTACACTCACTCACTGACTATAAACCCAGAAATACTAATCTTAATTTTAAAATAATAAATCCTAACTAGTCATAAGTTTGCCTATGATACTCCAATATAGACACTTTGTATTGTGCCAAAACAAAAGCATTCACATTGCTAAACTCACAAATTATGATGTAGTCACTTAGCCTTAATACCATAATCTGTAAGGATTTAATGTTAAGAATTAATCTAAGTCTGCTCGAAATGCCTAGCCATGCTAGGTGTCCTAGTGGCCCACTCTGTAATTAGTATTTTATAACATGTAAACCACAAAATACCCAAAACCTGTAAACCCCACATTGTAACCCTTATAGAGAATAAACTTGAATTGAATTGAATTGAATGGTTAAATTACCTCCGAGTGATTCGGCTGTCACCACACCACTTCCCTTCATACTCACTAGGAGGGATGCACATTATTTTCCCAGTCATCCATAAATTTCGACAAGAGAATGAATTACAGCACTGAGTATACTGAGGATCGAGCCTCAAATCACTCCTGCCACTGAATTATCACTCATGGTTTTAGAGTTTAATCTGAGTGAAAACTGAGGCAACATTCTTAAACTAACCACCAAGTGATCTTTGCGAAGACGAAATAAAGGAACGAAATTGTACTGAGAACATCCCTAAGGCAGCTGCACTCAGGTGCTAACACCTCGTTAAAATAACTCAGCATTGACGGGAGGGGAAGCAAGTTCGCTAAGTGGGTCCCCAACTAACCTGAGAGAGGAGGTCAAGGTCGATGGGTGGGGAGGCCTGGGTAGTACTTGATGTCTCCTCAGATGGGGAAGAGTTGATGAAGTCAACGATGAATTGGTCAACTGGGGAGATGGGTTCTTCCGTCGTTGGTTTGGGCATAGTGATGGTGGGTCGTGTTGTGGCTGGGGTCCGTCGTGTTGTTGTGGTGGGTCGTGTTGTGGCTGGAGTCCATCTTGTTGTGGCTGGAGTCCGTCTTGTTGTGGCTGGAGTCCGTCTTGTTGTGGCTGGAGTCCGTCTTGTTGTGGTGGTGGGCTCGGTGGGGGATGTGGTTCTTTGTGTCACTGTGATGGAAGGTCGGGTCGTAGATGTCGTTTGTTGGGTTGTAGCAGTGGTTTGTCTGGTCGTAGCTATGGTCTGAGGTGTTAATGTGGTAGGTGGAGGTGGTCTGGAGGCAGAGATGGCATTATCAGATGGTTCCTGATAAACAATGTTATGCATGGGGAAGGTGGAGGATGACCAGGATAGTGGCGGGTTAGTAGTAGGAGCGGGTGTGGTGGTGGTGGTGTGGTAGTTCTGCGCTGAAGTAATTCTCCAGTAATGTGCTGGAGGACATCTCCAGGTATAATGGCGGGTTCCATGTATATGTCATCATCATAGTCTTCTCCGACTGTCGTTGGTGTCAGAAATTCCGTCGACTGTAACTCGGATTGCGTAGTCGGAAGGCGGTAAGGAGATGATGCCATGCCAGATGTTAGGGGTTTAGGAGTCGTCCAGATCAAAAGTGGTAAGGCCACATCATTTATTATCGTTGGATGTGGTGGTGGTTTGCTGAGTGGCGTTGTTGTCCAGAAAGCGAGAGGGTCCACTAGATTCAGTTCTGTTGTTGTAGTCGGGGTAGTTTGGGTGGTGCGGGAAACCATCCAAATGATGGAAGGGTTTGGCGTCTGTGGTCGTATGTCCATGATGGGAGGCTGAGGCGACACTGTCCAGAAGAGCAGCGGATCTTCTGTAGCATCATCTCCTCCTCCTGAAGGAGCTGAGGTAGTTTCTACCGTAGGTCTCGGCCCCTTGGTCGTCGACGTCACTTGCGAAATCACAGACATGGGAGGTCTTGCGTCCAGTATCGGAGGGTGGGGAGAAAGTGTCCAGATCAAAAGAGACTCTGTCGTTATTTTTGGTGTCGTGCCCATCTGCCCTGTGGTCATTTTTGTAGTTTCTACCATCGTGGCGTCTTGTGAACTTCCTAGTGTAGCAGGAATCGTTGGCAAGTTTGATTCCTCTGTGTTCATTGCTTCCTCTGGCTTCGGACGGAACATATCAGGTCTGGGAGGAAAAGTGGACCTCGGGGGAGTGTCGGTGGTGATCTCCTCCTCAAAACTCATAACCGAAATATTGAAATTGGTTTCGGCAGTAATGTTTATCGGAGCTGGAGTTGCTTGAGGTCTCATTAAGCTTGGTCGAGAGAATTTTGAGGGTGTCGGCCTGGCGCTCCAGAAAAGAAGTATCTCAGTCTGTGTTAATGCATCTGTTGGAGTCATCGTAGTCTTCCTCTCGGGCTTGGTCGTAGGTCGAGGGTATGGCAAGTGAGACGTCGGTTTGGTCTCAAAATGCATCGTGTCCATCGTGGTATGTATACCTGGCTGGATGTTGACGGAAGGGCTCTCAGTGTTCTCGTCCAGGGTCATGTCCGGGGGCTGGTCTGTTAGGTCAATGGTTGAAATTTGTTGTGTAACAAACCCTTCTGGACCATCTGGCATCGTCATCAGTGGGACGTCTTCAGTGTTGTCATAAAGATCGAAGCCTGGTTCCTCACTCGTCTCACTCTGGACGAGAGTGGTGATAGTGCCAGTGTCAGTAAGAGGCTGTGGGATCTCAGTCTCTGTCTCTGCCTGATACTCGGGCATGGACTCATTGGAGGAAGCAGACAAAGGTTGGTTAGTGACTGTAAACTCACCATCATATTCTATCACCGACGACTCTAATTGGTCCTTTACATCGGCAGTTTTCGTCACCTGGATCAACTGGTCTGTGGAGTCTTCAACAGCAGCAGTAGTAGCTGGCGATGACGAGGGATCCGTGGAGATAACACCGACACCGTCTGTAGTCGAAGTATCTTGTATTTCTGTTGGCTCAGTCTCTCCCACGGGTACTGTTGCTTCCTCTTTCCCGGGAGTAACTTCCTCCTGATGGATTCCCTCTGTGCCACCTACCACGCCAGAGTCCGTTGATCTGTCCACAGAACTCTCCGTCACATCCAACTTCTGACTGTCACTCGGGTGCTGCATGAGCGACAAAGGTGTGCTGGAAACGCCTTGGGAATCTCCACTGTCAGACTGCTGGCTTGTCTCCACCTCCGGAGAAACACTAGGTATGGTAGGTTGACCTGAGCCGAAGAAAGACGTTAAATCTACCTCCTCGATGATGGTACCTTCGGTCCCCAACTGCTGGTGATCACTTTCTGTCATTTGTTGATCTGTAACTTCCTCTGTTTGATCAACGTTACTCGCCGCCTCCTGATCCTCCTGTGTATCACTACCAACTACCTGCTGTATATCAACCCCAGCTGCCCCTTGTATTTTTTCAGGAATTTTAACATTTGCCTCTCCTGCAGCTGCTCCTCCCACAGGAGGCACGGTAGTAACATCGAGGTCCATGGGAACGTTGCAGCAGGCGCCGAAGAGGAACCCGTCTACACAGGTACCGACCACCTTGCCGTTGAGCTGGATACACTCAAAGTTGAACATGCAGCTCCCTGGCTCCCCTTCAGGACTCCTGCACCTCTTCGGCTCGATCTTCAGCTGACGTTCATCAGCGCTGACACCTGTCAGAGAGGAACAAAAGGTGCACGTAAAAAAAACCAATTTCTCAATAGGACTGGTAAAGTGAATAATTAATTACTTCAAAAGAACAGTAGTGATCAGGGATTCAAACCTCATTACAGTGCATTTCCTGTCAATATAATATTAATTACTAATAATAGACAAGTCAAAGACAAAATTTATTTCTTTGCAAAGGTTCCAGTATGTGATTATATTTTATAATTAGTTAGGTACAAAGAAATCCACTATCATGCCGGGGCATTTCCGGCAGACTAATCAATAACAATGATAGGTTTAACCTTGAAGCTATCATTGTTACAATAATAATACAATAAAAAGTTATTAATTTCTTACATTTGGCTTTTATTTTATTACTGGAAGGAGAGGAAGGTGCCTCCTACATTCCCATATAATATATATATATATATATATATATATATATATATATATATAATATATATATATAATATAATATATATATATATATATAATATATATGTCGTGCCGAATAGGCAGAACTTGCGATCTTGGCTTAAATAGCAACGCTCATCTTGCCATATAGGACAAGTGAAAATTTGTGTATGCAATAATTTCGCCAAAATCATTCTGAACCTAACGAAAAAAATATATTTCACTGTGATGTAGTTCAGCTGGGCTTGTGAGGTCTCTGGGGAGACCTAATTTAACCAATTATATGGTCACACCTTGCCTTGGCAAACGTCTGTAGCCACGCCCACGTCTGAGGTCTTTTGTTCTTGACGGCGTCAGACCTAGGCGTCAGGTCGTACACGTGGTTGAGGAGGGTGCTTGGACCACCATAAAAGCCCAAGAAAGAGCATGATCAGGAGATTGGAGCGGAGCTGCTGCTGGGGTGCAGAGCTCCTGAGCGGAGATTCGAGCGGAGCTGCTGCTGGGGTGCAGAGCTCCTGAGCAGAGATTCGAGCGGAGCTGCTGCTGGGGTGCAGAGCTCCTGAGCAGAGATTCGAGCGGAGCTGCTACTGGGGTGCAGAGCTCCTGAGCAGAGATTCGAGCGGAGCTGCTGCTGGGGTGCAGAGCTCCTGAGCAGAGATTCGAGCGGAGCTGCTGCTGGGGTGCAGAGCTCTGAGCAGAGACTTCGAGAGGAGCTGCTGCTGGGGTGCAGGGCTCGGGAGAAGGCTGCTGAAGTCTCTGGAGGAGACTGTTGGAGGCACTGGGCAGAGTACTGGCTTGGCGCAGTACTCGTGCTGTGTAGGTCTTGGGACCTGTGGCTTAGTTCCTGTGATGAACTGCCCTCTGAACTATATTGTAAGTTACATTCATTTTGGTCAAGTTGATTGTGTTCCCTGTCTCACTGCTTATGTGTACCATCCCATTTATCTAAACCACAATAATGTTCTCCTGTTCCCAAATATATTATTGTACAAAGACTTAATAATAAACTGTGTTTGAGTAGAATAGTAATATTCACTGTCCCCGTTATTTACTCATTTCTCCATTTATTTATGTTTAGTTAAAGTAGTGAGAGGGTGAGGAGTGTGGAGTGGTGGGTAGAGTAATGAGACGTGAAGATGTAGTCACCAGTGACCTCACATTACCTACCTACCTCTGCCCTCATCCCTCCTACTGCCTCGCCTGTCCCCTACCTACTAACTCCCTCCTCTTACCCCCATATTCTCCTAATCATCACCCCCCTACATGACATCACTGTGTTTGTTTAGTATTAAATTATTGTAAGCAAATCTAAAATATATTTAGGTGGGTTAGGCTAAAATAAATTACTCTGGTTATAACAAGGTTAGGTAAGTTTTCTAAGATTCTTTTAATGCAAAATTATAAATTTTTACATTAACATTAATGAAAAAAATATATCTTTAAACGTATAAGAGAAAATTTTAGAAAGGACTTAATTTTAAATGAATTCTTGCTAATTGACCAGTTTTACATATTCGGCATGACATATACAGTGGTCCCCCGCTTTTCGTAGTTCCGGCAATCGTAAAATTCGCCAATCATAGGGGTATTTTCGTATAAACATGGACTCGCTTTTCATAGGTTGACTCGTGAGTCATAGTTCGTCGGGGACGCGTACCCACGGGGCGGCAGCCAGTGTGGCATTGTTTACCAGTGAGCGAAGGTCCCCTCACGTTCTCCAGCGAAATATTTCATAATATTCCATTTATTTTAGTGCTTGCAAGTACTAAATAAGCTACCATGGCTCCAAAGAAAGATCCTAGTGCCAAGCCTGTGGTAAAGAAGGTGAGAAATACGATTGAATTTAAAAAGACCATCATTGAACAATATGAAAGTGGTACAAGTGTGGCCGAACTGTCCAGGATGTATAAGAAACCCTACACAACCTTATGTTCCATAGTGGCCAAGAAAAAGGAAATAAAGGATGCTGTTGTTGCAAAGGGAGTAACTATGCTGACAAAAATGTGATCACCAGTACTGGAAGAGGTTGAGAAGTTATTATTGGTGTGGCTAAATGAGAAACAATTAGCAGGAGATACTCTTATGACTTCGATTATTTGTGAAAAGGCTAGGCAGTTGCATGAAGATTTGGTAAAGAAATTGCCTGCAAATAGTGGTGAAGTGAGTGAATTTAAGGCCAGCAAAGGCTGGTTTGAGAGATTTAAGAACCGTACTGGCATACACAGTGTGGTAAGGCATGGTGAGGCTGCCAGTTCGGACCACAAGGCGGCTGAAAAATATGTGCATGAATTCCAGGAGTACATAGAGGCTGAAGGACTGAAACCTGAACAAGTGTTCAGTTGTGACGAAACAGGCCTCCTTTGGAAGAAAATGCCAAAGAGGACCTTCATTACACAAGAGGAAAAGGCAATGCCAGGACACAAGCCTATGAAAGACAGGCTGATGCTAATGTTCTGTGCTAATGCTAGTGGGGATTTCAAAGTGAAGCCATTACTAGTGTACCATTCTGAAAATCCCAGAGTGTTCAGGAAAAACAATGTTTATGAAGAGTAAATTGTGTGTGTTTTGGAATCTAATAGTAAGGCATGGGTCACGAGGGAAATTTTCGTCGAGTGGTTCAATGAAGTGTTTGGCCCTAGTGTGAAGGAGTATCTCCTGGAAAAGAAATTGGATCTCAAGTGCCTGCTAGTAATGGACAATGCACCTGCTCATCCTCCAAACTTGGATGACCTAATTTTCGAGGAGTTTGGGTTCATCACAGTAAAGTTCTTGCCCCCGAATACCACTCCTCTCCTCCAACCCATGGACCAGCAGGTTATTGCAACCTTTAAAAAACTCTACACAAAAGCAATGTTTCACAGGTGCTTGACTGTGACCACAGACACTCACTTCACCCAAAGGGAATTTTGGAGAGAACACTTCAGCATCCTCCACTGCATAACCCTTATAGGTATGGCTTGGGAGGGAGTGATTACCAGGACTTTGAACTCTGCCTGGAGAAAACTGTGTCCAGATTGTCACCGGTTTCTTCAACACGCAAGTTATACTTTTGTATCAATCAAATCACATATTACTCGGGTAGATAATTTCCAGTAGATCCTTCATGTGTTAGCCCAAATCACCGACCAGTATGTTTTAAATAAGCGACCCACTGATCAGATCAGATCGACTGGTCCGAACCCTTGACTGGTCCGAACCCTTGACTGGTCTCAAACGGTTTCGTTGGACAATAAAGCAGACTGTAAAACGGATGGGGTTGTAGGGGGCCTTATAAACACAAACATTAAATATATATCAGGAACGTGCACGGTAAGCTGTCCAATATACAAAAACAGTGAGAAACAGAAATACAATAGCTAAAAGCTTCATTTAAGGAGGTTATTAATAAATATTCAAGAGGTTGCTAGTAGAATTGCAGTAAATCAACCATTCAAATCATTATGAAGCTGGTGTGAAGTCTGTGGTCAGTCAAACAACGGGCTTCCACATGGATAAATTGTCATTTTTTGTGGAAATTGGTGTCACCCCCCTTTGGGTGCAGATATCCAAGAACTAGCTACAAGCATTTATTAAAACAGGGAAATGTTTTTGGGTATGCCCAAATGAGATAAATCTGTGACTAAAATCACAAGGGTATTAAAAGAGGACAACATCAAAGCTGCTTTCATAGAAAACCTGGAAGCTATCTACAACAGATGGGAACATAAAAAGTCTGGGCTGAATGGAAACTGCCCTTGATACTGGCCATGTAGTCAGAAACTGTAAGGCTGGAGATGAAGTCCTGGTAGTCAGTAAATGTGGGGCTGATAGTGCTGTCCTGGGAGACAGTAAGGTGAAGCTGGAGGTGCTGTCCGGGGAGACAGTAATGGTGAAGCTGGAGGTGCTGTCCTGGGAGACAGTAATGGTGAAGCTGGAGATGCTGTCCTGGGAGACAGTAAATGGTGAAGCTGGAGATTTTGTCCAGGTAGTGGGGAAATTTAAATACGCGGGAAGGAATACATATAAATGACCTCATAGGGGACAGGAGCCATAGTAGGGAAACAATGTAGTCAAAGATAAGATAAAACCAAAAATTCCCAAAACTAGAAATCAACAGAAAATAGCAAACAAGAGGACTCCACTAGAAATAGTTAGGATATATTTACCAAAAACAACTGGTGGGAGCTCCATTGTTGGTGCTAGGGGGGATAGAAGTAAGACAGGGAAACATGCACCAACAGGGAATACAGTCACAAAACCCAAGGCAAACGGAAAAACCCAAACCTCTGCACATACTGTGCACTTGGTATCTGCGGCATGGGAAATCTGGAAAAACAGATGGGACGTGCAACTAGACCACCCTAGAAAATGCCATGCCCCTATGACAACAGAAAATTTGCAAACCCCCTTCCTGTAAGCTTTTTCACCCGAACTGTGTCCTCTCAGTACAGGAAAGACTGTGCTATAATTTAAATTGCCAGCATACCATCTAAAGGGGAAAAAAAGATACAAACATCCAGGCCATGGAAAACCCTTTGGGTTAGCCCAGCCACTCAGAGGGAAAAGGTTTTTAGTCCCAGGAAGGGAAAAAAACTGCGGAAATGGAGAAATC